TTTTTTTTTATATGAGAATTGAAGTCGGTTTTGTTTTTTGCTTAAAAAATACTTGTTTTATTTGGCAGAAATGTAAGCTAATGGAAGATTTAGCCCATGATACAAAAAAGAAGGTAGTTTCAATAAACAACTTTTGATTAATAAAATTTTTTGTCTTGCCACTTTGATAACATTAAAACAACAAATCGGAGTATTTTCCTTCCCATATTTATACCAATGTAATAATATTTGAAATCAAAACCCATTATCAGTGCTTGGTATTTTTTTTACGGTCATAGTTCGCACTATTTTTATTAAAAATATATTAAATATAGACTATTAAAGAAGACTTCATCGTAATTGTTCTTTTTATTTTATAATAAAAACCACGCGCGCATTATGCTGTTATTTGTTCGTTTTCTTATATTTAATGCAATCTTGCGATCTAAAAATCTAATTCTAAAGAATGTTCTTCCCAAATAAAACCTTTATATATTTTGGCTCAAATTTACTTTCAAATTTTTCATCATATTTTACAAAAACTTTGGTTTGTGATTAGCGTATCACCATTAGCTTTCACAAATTTTGAATTTAAAGTTTCTAATGTATGCAAAAAACTGAAGTCGGCTTGAATAGACCGCCCTCCGATAATCAATTAACATATCGTCGTGTGAAGTACAACAAAAATGCGTATCAACAATCATGCAAAACTGCGTATGTGAGGTTACATAAATTATTTTCTATAGAGTAAACCATGATAAAAAAATAGGAAGGTAGAACCGCTAAGAGGAGTTTTTCAAATTCTTGACGTTTGCAAGCAATTTAATTTTAAAATTTTATAAACAAACTCACACACATATTCTCATTTCAATCTCAAACAACAAAAACTTTGAACAATTCCTTTTTTTTACTCTCAATTTTATATGATTTTAAAATGTTGGCAAACTTCAAAAAAAAATCATGCTCGACGAATTGTGAGAACGGTTTTACCTTACTATATTTTTATCATGAAGTAAACAACCTCATATTTCAAAATCATTCTCTTTTTTACAGAGCAATCGCATTTCTGTTTAGTATATTTCAGGACAAATGGATAAGGGTTGAGCCAAGAGCTTGTGTGATCAAATCCAATTTTTGACAAAAAATGTCAGTTACGCGGTTTTGCAGAAGACGGCTTTGGACTTTAAACGACGATATTTAAGTATAATTTGTATCACTTTCTTCATGCATTCTGAAGCCTAGTCGTCAACCCCATTTTCGAAATTATGTAGCCGGCATAATTTTCAAGTCCATCACATTCCTCATCTTTGAATGATAAAATCTTGTGCTTTAAAAAAAAAATTGTTTCTAGTGATCAGGTAGCATGAATGAGCAAATGGTTAACAACGATTGTCATTAAATAGAGCTACCTTCTTTTTTGTATCATGAATTATTTTGGCTTATGAAAATTTATCTTGGCTTGTATATCGAACTAACTAGAGGCATTGCCATTCTGAAGGTGCTGGCCCAATGCAGGCTTGCTTTGCTTGCTTCGCTGCGAGAAGTGTCAAAAATTATTTGGAATATACTAAAACGTATAAAGGCTGGCCAAATGGCAGCTTTTCCTAACTTGCTTTAAGCGCCTCAAAGTTTGAATTAGACAAATGTTTTATTTGAAAGCGTTTTGTAGGCTTTTGACAAAGAGGTATGTTCCTTTCAAAATACATAAATTCAAACAAATTTTTGCTTACTTAATTTAAAAAAGTCACAGAAAATGCAGGTAATTCGAAATGAAATAAAAATGATTCATTGTTTCCATATTTTATTTAACATATCGTTGTCTTATAGTAAAAAGTTGCAAAGCCCACTTTTACAAATTTTACACGAGAGGAAAAAAACTTCTTCTTCAAGTAAATCGCTTTTTTAAGATATGATTTTTTTAGTAAATGTAGATATAGATATGTATGTATCATTATTATCATTTCTTTTAAATACAAACATTATTTCCCATGAATTTAAAAATAAATCTGAAACTTGTTCATACATTTTTTAAAGTTTTCTAGGAAATAATTATTAACGTTAAGGGAACAGACATTGACTTTTCCACCAGACAGCTGGTTACTTTGACAGCGTTCCAAGCCACCATTCGGCCAAGCAAGTTTTCAAAGTAAATCAAAGCAAATTGAAGTCAGCAAGGCGCGCAAAGCAAGCCTGCATTGGGCCAGCGCCTTGAGTCAAAAAGCTTTTTGCTTCAGCCAATCAGAAAGAGGCAATAGCTTTCATTTTACATAACAACGTTCAAAAATGTATATGTATTCACAAATACAATTAATATGTAATTAATAATTAAAAAAAAATATCAAAATTGTTTGCCGTTTGCCGTTTGCCACAAAAGAAACCAATGCGATAATTAGCTATTTTTTATCATACCTCATCACCCGCAGATATATGTAAACAGTGCATACGAACTAGCGTTGCCAAATGTCTCGTATTTGCCGGGACGTCCCGCCGCACAGTGCGACCGAATCCCAGAAGTGCAGCCAAAAATCGAGAAAATAAAGTTTCTAGACATTGAGTTGGCTAAAGCGATCACCTAAGAAGCGAAAACTGTTCACTGTAACGACCTGAACACTGAACCAAAAATCCATCTCTGGATCAAAGAAAAACTTTCCTTACTTAAAGGTCGAAAATTCTTCCGAATGAGTAGAAAATTCTCCCGAATGCGTAATTTTTCTTGGATATGGAATATGGAACCGTGGATGTAATCTATCATTTTGAAGAAATGTTGGGCATGAAAAGAGGATAAAACTTCTTTAGTGCTATTTCGTTCCAATTTTTCTTCATTTTGATTGCTGTTTTTCTTCAATTAAGAGAAGTTTTCTTTGGGTGTACCCTAAGTCCTCTCTTTATATTCATTTGTAGTGTGACCCAAGGTATATTCAAAAAGGTAGAAGTGACAACTCAGTCGAGCTCTCTCATAGCTGACTGTAATGTCAAAAAATGTAAACAAATAAATTAAACCTTTGTTATGCATGTACCAAATTTTATCATTAGTGTTCGCGGAGCATTTGCCCTGAAGGAAACATTGTTCCAGTTGCTCGAAAAATATAGTCGTATGTAGTAGTTTTGTATCTAATGTATGTAATGCATAAGGTATGAGTTTTGATCTAAAATTGGTTACAATGTCACGCAGTAGCGCACAACGGGTACAATTAACGAGTTACTGATATGTAGCCACTTAGTCATCGAATTTTGATGTGCGTCGTTGGCATGCACAGAGAGTATCTGCTTAGAAAATTTTAGAACCCCGGTTCGAATCGCATTTGGCAAAAGTTTTGTTTTATTTATTTTTTTATATCTAAAATTGGTTACAATGTAATGCAGAAGCGGAAAATTGGTCCGAGCCCAGGACATTCAATGTTAAATGCAAATAGAATTTTACATGTGCTTGGACCAAACTGTGGACTACTTACAATCACTTGTAGTCCTAAAGGATGCTTATATAGTATGTTAGTGTACTCGTGGATCCGGTCGTGCTTGTTTATGGCACACTTGCTCAGTTTGGGTACATATGTGCCTCAAAACCGATAACTTCTTCCCCACAGCCACCTCAGGTACGGCCGAATCTTGGGATAATTGAAGCATTGGGGAATCGAAAGGTAGAGGTACTGTGCCTGGGAACAAACGAGAGCGCTTAAAAATACTCACTTGCAATGGGCAACAAATATAAAGTCACTGGCCCTAAAATGGTTCTCGCACACACACGAAGAGTATTCCAATGAAACACCGCAGCTATTCGCCCACCCTTTTCCCTTCACTTCACAATAAAGTTTGTTGTCCTGGCTCTTGCCACACACAGCACACCGCTCTTAAATCCAATTCATTTTATTGTGTATTTGAAATCAGTACCACAGCTCATGGTGTAATGAACTGAAGGTGGCGCATTCCCGAAACCGCTACTTTGGTTTTGCCGACTTTGACGTTTATGGCAATACGTAAACAAACTTTTTGTTTATAAATAAGTGCAAACGTATTGTGTATTTTCAAGTGAAAAATCGAAGTAATTCGTGCGTTCTGAAGTAAAAAACGTTTTATTTATAATAAAAACTTTATAAAAATGTCGTGTCGAGTGTTGAATTGCAGCAGCCGTAGGGGTAAAGGCCCCAAATGCAGGTTTATTTTGTTTCCCCGCGACGACGCCTTGGCCAGAAAGTGGGTAGAGTTCTGCCGGCAGGAGAAGCCATACAATTTAGGCACCAGCGTAATATGCATGAAACACTTTACGGATAATGATTACATGAGTAAATATCATTTACTTTCATTACTTATATATGTCGATATCTAATAAAAGTCTTAGGAACTGCTAGTGGACCATCGCTTCGCCTCGACGCCATGCCAACCATTTTTGAGTGGGAAATAGATCCTGCTCCGGTGTGTGAGTCACAAGATGACAGCGTTGAGGAGATCATTGAGCTAAAAAATTGCGAAGGTAGCAAATATTATACTATAAATATTATATTATTAATGTCAGTGGTTTATTAGTTGGTTTAAATGAAGGCGATAAAGAATATCGGGCCAGGGACGGTACTGTTGATGCTTCGACGTCACCTATCCGTAACTGTGATTACTATGATACTGATCTTCAGGAAGTGGAAGTGTTGAAAGTGGAAGTGTACGTTAATAAGTAACAGATCTTTATGTGTAAATGTAATAATATCTTATATTTCTCTTATTTGAAGTGAGACATTCAAGCGCGAAAATGCACACCTCAAAAAGGTGAACGAAAAGCAGTGCACCGAGCTCGCTACATTGAAGCGGGAGTCCGACCTGCAATTGAAGAGACACGCATGGAAAATGGAGTCACTGCAAAAACGTTTGGATGAAATGGCTGCCGAAATGAAAAATGTGGAAGATGCACTAGCTTCCATCTTCACCAAAGGGCAGATAGCGAAGCTGAAGTCTGGGTCGAAGCGACGAAAATGGGCGGAAGAGGATATTGCGAAGTCAATATCGTTGTATGCTGCCAGTCCTAAAGCATACAGGTTGCTATATAAGCAATGCCTTCCACTCCATCGGTCCGCACACTTCAAAGTTGGGCACAAAAACTGGACATTTCGCGCGGACTTATAACCCCAGTCTTCCGGTTATTGGCCGCCGCTACCCACATGAACGAGGCAAAAAAGCTATGCGTGTTGAGTTTCGACGAAATGAAAGTAAGACAATCTTACTGTTACGATGTTTCGTCGGACTCAACATTAGCCCCCGTCAACTACGTACAGGTAGCGATGTTAAGAGGTAAACATTACAATCAAGATTTTATAGAATATCAAACCTTTATTAAGGCCTTTTATATTTCAGGTCTCATGGCAAAGTGGAAACAGCCAATCTTTTATGACTTCGACTGCAAAATGACTTCCGTTTTGCTTCGAAGCATGTTGCAGAAGTTAAAAGATTGCGGCTATAACGCAGTGGCTGTCGTATGCGATCTTGGAGGTACCAATAGGGCCCTCTTTAATGATCTCGGCGTAACTGAAGACCAACCGGTGATAAATAATCACAATTAAACTTATTGATTTCAGTTCTTATAATACTTCTCATTTCCATAGGTTTATTTTCAATGACCAAAGGATTTACGTTTTCGCTGACGTGCCACACTTGCTAAAACTTTTGCGAAATCATTTCCTTGATCAAGGTTTCCTAATTAATGGGAAACCTGTGAAAAAGGAAATAATTTTGGAGTTATTGTCAATTACATATGCGTCCATATGCGAAGTCTTGAGTCAGTCTTTAAGGCATTGAACGAAGACGGCTTGCTCATTACAAATGATTTTGTAAAAACTCACATTGAGCATGCTGCAATAAAGAACTCGTTGAAAATGCCCACAAACGAAAAGGAAAAGCCAAAGCAACTATGACCGAGATCGATCCATATGGTACCATTATAGAACCGTAAGTATTGCATAAAATACCAAACATGTGGTAAGTTTTGAACTAAACGTTTTTAAATTTGTAGAAATTAACCGTTCTTTACTTGAAGCATGATCAACGTCCGCATTTCACATGCACTGATCTCAGTATTTCAGACGCCTAAAATTAAAATACTTGCATGCTACGTAAGTCCCTAGTTTTAAAAAATCATCAAGCGTCTTTTATACAAATATAAACTTATTTATTTGCAGGCACATAATATGATTTATCCAAAGGCCCTTTTCAGGGCCGCCAATTAATTAACAAAGAGATTAAAATTTTATGCTTAGATAAATACATATATACCAGTCAACAAGAGGCACTTTTCAGGGCCACAATTAAGTTGACAAAGAGACTAAAATTTTATATCCTATATATATCTGTGCTCGTATGGAAAAGTAGCTTATGTCGAAAGGCTGACTTTAATATAAATCGGCATTTGCAGTATACGATTGCGAATGACTCGCTGGCGCTGAGCCGTTGAACAACTTTTGGCAAATAAACGTGCAAGAAATAGTTCCGATACTAGAAAGTCAATATTCTTATTAAGTCTCATCAAAAAATTCCTTGTCGTTTAAAGAATAAAAGAAATGCCGCATTATACTAAAGCCAACCTTTCGACATAAGCTACTTTTCCATACGAACACAGATATTTATGTTCTTAACGTATATATGTATGCATGTATCTTTTTAATAATTATCATTTAAATTGTATAATTTTTTACTTAGATTTAATAGCAATTACTTGGTTTTACTNTTCGTTATAGTTAAACTTAACTAAGCGGATCAATGAAAATATAATATACTGCAAATATATGTATATAATATACTGCAAAATAAAGACTATAGTAGTAAAAATTTCAAATCGAATAAATGTTTATTAAAACTATACCTCATTGCACTAGCTTCCAAAAACAGAGAAGAAAAATAACTATGACGTACTGAGCTCTGGTTGTTGATGCAAGACTATTTTGCTGAGACTGACGCGACACACACCAGTACACCAGGTTGGTTTGCACTAGTTGGTGTCGGCTGGTGTACAGAAAATATATCAAACTTNTCATTGCATTAGCTTCCAAAAACAGAGAAGAAAAATAACTATGACGTACTAAGCTCTGGTTGTTGATGCAAGACTATTTTGCTGAGACTGACGCGACACACACCAGTACACCAGGTTGGTTTGCACTAGTTGGTGTCGGCTGGTGTACAGAAAATATATCAAACTTCAGGTTGATTTTCGGCGCCGATGAAGCAACTGAGCCGAAGATATCATCAAGGTTGGCATTTGAAGTTGGTTGTACATTAATTTCTAAAATAGAAATGTAGGTCTCAATTCAGAACTTAGCAAATATTAATTTGGATGGCCGCCTAAAAGTCTAAGACTTTTTTGAATCTACCGAATCCTTNTTTAAGACTTTTTTGAATCTACCAAATCCTTACCTAAAATATCAGGTATTGGAACAGAGCCAATGCCAGATGAATTATCATCCCCGAATGCTCCAAGCAAATCGAAACTAGCTTCACTCGGTGGCATAACAGTGGCNAATCGAAACTAGCGTCACTCGTTGTGGCTTGTGGATCTTGCACCGGCAGCTGGGGTTGGGGCTGGTTTAAATTGAGCATGTCTATTGGTGGTGATGGTTGAGGTTGGATTCGAGGTACATCCTCTTGCTTTATTTCGGTAGCATCTGGTAAAATAGGCGTTATCTACCGAAGCAGCTGACCTAACAGGCGTAGGTTTGTTGATGGAACTAGGTTTGGTCACTGTAGTAAGGAAAATAAATATATTAATGAAATGGGCGGAAACACTATAGGGACTTGCCGAAATTATCCACCATTTCCTCGAATTCTAATTGCGAACTAAATATATGTTGTGCGTTTCTTATGGGCTTTGCTGGTAACCAAGGAGGATTCCTACTCGGCGGAAATTCGTTATCCGTGAAACTCAACGACAGCGAAACCTAAAAGTCATGAGGAACCTGATCGGCATCCGGTAAATCATCGAGATCATTCGAGGAAAATGTTATCAATGTTTCTTGTTCCGGTATGAAGCCCGTGTTGATTTGGAATTGACAAATCTTTAAACTCTGAGGACGTACCATGCCTTTAAGTGCATTCCGCGCATGATAAAGCACCACTTCATTTATGGAAAATTATGGAAATTAAGCTGAATCACCACCGGCATGCTTGCCGCGACTTATTTTTTCCAAACCCTGTAAGCAAAGCTTATATTAATGCGACACAAATTTGTTATTACTGCCACGCACTCACCAAATTAAATGATTCCACAAGCACAGTGCGTGATTTACAAGGCGGCATCTTAGTTGATTTTTCCTTTTGGTCTTTGGAGATTTATCAAAAGCTTCCACAGCTTCACAGTTCTCAAACAGCAACACCAGCCCACATACAATTGAAAGCACCACTTTTAAACACGACATGTTAAGTTGAAAACGTTGAAATACCACAATTTACAAATTAAAATCGGAGGTAAGCAAGCATCGCAAAGACCAAAAGGAAAAATCAACTAAGATGCCGCCTTGTAAATCACGCACTGTGCTTGTGGAATCATTTAATTTGGTGAGTGCGTGGCAGTAATAACAAATTTGTGTCGCATTAATATAAGCTTTGCTTACAGGGTTTGGAAAAAATAAGTCGCGGCAAGCATGCCGGTGGTGATTCAGCTTAATTTCCATAATTTTCCATAAATGAAGTGGTGCTTTATCATGCGCGGAATGCACTTAAAGGCATGGTACGTCCTCAGAGTTTAAAGATTTGTCAATTCCAAATCAACACGGGCTTCATACCGGAACAAGAAATATTGATAACATTTTCCTCGAATGATCTCGATGATTTACCGGATGCCGATCAGGTTCCTCATGACTTTTCGGTTTCGCTGTCGTTGAGTTTCACGGATAACGAATTTCCGCCGAGTAGGAATCCTCCTTGGTTACCAGCAAAGCCCATAAGAAACGCACAACATATATTTAGTTCGCAATTAGAATTCGAGGAAATGGTGGATAATTTCGGCAAGTCCCTATAGTGTTTCCGCCCATTTCATTAATATATTTATTTTCCTTACTACAGTGACCAAACCTAGTTCCATCAACAAACCTACGCCTGTTAGGTCAGCTGCTTCGGTAGATAACGCCTATTTTACCAGATGCTACCGAAATAAAGCAAGAGGATGTACCTCGAATCCAACCTCAACCATCACCAGCTGCCGGTGCAAGATCCACAAGCCACTGTTATGCCACCGAGTGAAGCTAGTTTCGATTTGCTTGGAGCATTCGGGGATGATAATTCATCTGGCATTGGCTCTGTTCCAATACCTGATATTTTAGGTAAGGATTTGGTAGATTCAAAAAAGTCTTAGGGCTGGTTTCTCCAACTCAACTTAACTTAGTTTAGCCACTTTTTGGACTTAAGTCAAAATTTAGCCTACGTTTTACACAGCTTATTCATGACTAAGTCAAGAAAATTGGCTTAACTAAGTTAAGTTGAGATGGAGAAACCAGCCCTTAGACTTTTAGGCGGCCATCCAAATTTATATTTTGCTAAGTTCTGAATTGATACCTACATTTCTATTTTAGAAATTAATGTACAACCAACTTCAAATGCCAACCTTGATGATATCTTCGGCTCAGTTGCTTCATCGGCGCCGAAAATCAACCTGAAGTTTGATATATTTTCTGTACACCAGCCGACACCAACTAGTGCAAACCAACCTGGTGTACTGGTGTGTGTCGCGTCAGTCTCAGCAAAATAGTCTTGCATCAACAACCAGAGCTTAGTACGTCATAGTTATTTTTCTTCTCTGTTTTTGGAAGCTAATGCAATGAGGTATAGTTTTAATAAACATTTATTCGATTTGAAATTTTTACTACTATAGTCTTTATTTTGCAGTATATTATATACGTCGACTTTAAAGCCGCTTTTGACAGCACTAAAAGGAGTTGCCTATACGCCGCTATGTCTGAATTTGGCATCCCCTCAAAACTCATACGGCTGTGTAAAATGACGTTGAGCAA